TGTGTGTCGATCCGAACTCGATCTCGAACTCGAACTCGAACTGGTCCACCCCCCTCTCGCTCGATCCACGCAATCTCGCGCATCGAACTCGAACTTGAACTCGAACTCGAACGGGATCAGTTAGAACTACCTGGGGCACGGCCTGCAATACGCTGAGCAACTGGTTTATAGATAAAGTCTCCTTTGTGTGTACCCTAAGTCTGAGGCTACAAAGTCATCGGCGGTGTCTCCAGCTCTTTGGTGAAGGCTGCTGTGATTGGTGCATTGAAGATAGCCCACCTAGAGCGTCAATGTGTTCAGACTTTGTGGCCACAGGTGGCTGTAGGAACGCCACAATGTGACGATGTGTGACATGTTCAGCCTGTCCAGCCTCCAGATCAACGTTTGGTCATAGCTGGCAACTGGTCTTTGAGAGGAGTGCTTGCCACGCTTAGCTGCTAGCCTCGATGTGCAGCCTGTGACAGATATCCTCGAAGTTGGGCAGGACCTTTGTTAAGTTGTCCCAAGATATCCAAAGAGCATCCCACAGTAGCATTGGGGCATTTGACGATTTTTCACTTAACCGTATCACACAAATGCTGCATATGCCAAAAGCAATCTCTTGAACTTACTTCGCATGCATCAGGTAGTTCCCGTGCCATTGTTTCCAAGGCATGGACACTTGTTTCAGGAGGATGGTGTATTCTCCCGTCCAATGTATGCTGGCAATGCCATTGCCACTGTCCAAGCCCCATTTGCCAAGCCTCAAGTCTGTGAGCGTGGCCTTTGTTTGAGCATGATGGATAAAGATAGGGGCCCGTACTGGGTGGATAAATTCCAGGGCGTCAGACCCAAGACATTATTTGGGTGCGAGCCTGTGAGCTACCTAACAAGGGGGTCTATCAATCCCTTAAAATTATCCACCCAAGTAAGGCAAGGAGTGGATCATTTTTTGGGGGGGGCGATTGGAGGGTCAGCGCATTGGACATTATCCAGTAGTCATGTTTTGCATTTCCTGGATTTTATCCAACCAGTAGTCGGAGCCGTCCAAGAGTGCATTTTGTTGTCCTCGTCGGCGAAAAGCAGAGAAAAGTGAAGAGAAGACAAAGCAAATTACATTGTGCAAACTTCTTGGCCTTGTTGGACATGAGCAAGACAGAGAAGACATACTGGACGGTTGAGGTAAAAAGCAGCGATACTGTGAGACTTTTGACATTCCGGCAAACCGCATTTGAGGCCTTGGCCGTGTGATGTTTCTCGATTTGTTCAAAAGGATGTTTGGTACATACCAGTACCAAACATCAAACATCAGATTTCTCAGGACATTTTGCAAATCATTCTCTTGGAAAGGCTGCTGCTGAATCCTCAAGCGCAGCACCAACAGAGACGTTGGGTGCAGCAACCTATGCTGGAGCAGGTTGCGACAAACTTGTCTCAATGTTTTCGGGGATGCAGATTCCTTCCTGGCATCCACCTTGTCGTCCAAAGCTGGAGGCATTCAGTGGTTGAAGGACTCTGAGGCTACCAGCGACAAGCCGCAGCTGAGTAGCGTTACTTGGATATTATTACATTGCTGCTTTGGTCATGCAGGTGGTATTGTGCAATTGAATGTCAAGTGAACTTCAACCAACCCCTCGTTTGGTGGCTCATACATTTATGATGTTCAGTATATTTGGGCCAGAAGTTCAGATTTGCATCAAAGGCCAGCCGCGTGGTTGCAGGAGGGCGTGGTCTCAAGAATGGTGAAAACTTTGAGAAGGTTGGACTTTGAAAACGGAAGGGAGCAGCCTGGAAGTTAGACACCATGCTATATGGGGTGTTGTAACTCTGACGCCTCAACACTGGCTTTGAATCTAAACTTTCTTTGAGTGCACTGCATTTTTTCAAATTTTTGAACAGGCATGAATAGACTTTGTACAGCGCTTGAACGGTATATCATATCCGTTGCAGGTCTTGGAGCCGCTTTGTGACAAGCTGAAGGCTGCACTGGGAGCTTCACGGGCAGCGGTGGACGCTGGCTTTGTCCCCAATGAGCTGCAGGCAGTCGGCTGTGGTAGCTAAAGCATTCCAAAACAGATTGGTCGTTTGTGGATAAACATTCTTGGGATCAAGAAATCTTATTTATCCATTTCCTGATGCAAGCGTGGATTCAACGTTTTTGTTGCTTTTAACTGTCAGGTGGGCCAGACAGGAAAGGTTGTGGCCCCGCAGCTTTACATTGCCGTGGGCATCAGCGGTGCCATCCAGCACCTAGCAGGAATGAAGGACAGAATTACAGTGACAGTTGAGTCGCTCAAATTGCATGACCGCATGTGCATCGGTATTGCTGTTTGAGGTTTACGAAGCCATGCTCAGACACTTTAACAACCTCCAAGGTGTTTGCCTTTGCACCTGCTTTGATGCGGCCTGATTGGCATTTATACAATATAATATGTATGATACACATTTGTTTGTTGGCATTTCTCCACAGAAATTGATGTTGTTCCTTCTCTCAGTTGAGGACCCCAGGCAGATTTACTAGTGAATGAAATGTTTGACTTGTATAGAATGGTAGCAAGCCAATCACATTGCTTTTGGGCTAAGCACAGTGGAAGCATTTTCCAGTTGGACTAAAACAACTGCGTTCCGTGGACCATCATTTTTGCAGGCCCGAGAACAAGGGTAGGAAATTTGGGAGAGGCCTGATTTGAAAGAAGCAGAACAAGCCATCAGAGAACAAAAGCACAGACAAGTTCGACAAAATACACAGAAGATCGATTTGAAGAGCTGAACATTTGGAATCATTTGGAGGCAGATGCTTGCTGTAAACGAGGGCTGAGATTTGCACTCCGTGTTTCTTTGTGCCTCTAGACTCTAGACCTAGACCTGCACCCATACCCTCTAAGCCGCAACTCGATGAGAAGGCTGGTGCAGGTCTAGGATGGTCTAGGTAGGGGAGCAGGATGCTATTGTACAAATGTGTGCAACATGTAGGGACAACGGGGGGGGTGCCCCGAAAGCAAACCTTCCCGACGACCCAACATGGTTTTCGGGGGTGTGGGGATGGGGGGGGGCTGGGCACAGTTTCGCTCGTGTTACTACTCGCATAAATCGACATTCGCGTTGCGATTTCGGCTTCGTGACGTTTCGTTCGTGGTTCTACTGCGTAAATCGACATGTGCGTCTTCGTGACTCGACACTCGTGTTACACTTTCGGCTTAGAGGACATGGCAGGCTCCACGTTTGAGGATTGTTTGTGTTTGTCGTTTGTTCTTTTGTTGCGTTTGTCCAGTTTGAGGTGCCCTTCCCCCAATCATCATCTGAGGGATTTTTTTGCAGCTGACCCTTTTCTTTGGATGCCCACATTGATGTGTGCTCCCGAATGGCAAAAAGCAGGAGAGTCTGGACAGCAGACCTGGTCTTATTTGAGTGTTTTGAAAGTCCACTCAAGTCATCGATAAGTTGAGTGACCCGAAAGGCAAAAAAAACTGTTAAACCCATGCTTTTCTAACGCTGTGCATGTTGCTGTCGGGGCAACCCCCCCCCGTTTACCCAAATGTATATAGTACAGTAACTGCAATCTTGCATCCAGCAGCACTCTGCATGATGCCCTTCTTCTGCAATACTCGGAGCCAAGTTGGGCATGATTTTGATTCTAGATTTGGGGGTGTTGAAGGTTGTCCGGGTACCTCCCATATTGATACTGGTCTACTTCCACAGGCAGATCCTTTAGGTCAGAAGTCTGCTCGCTGGTGATCTTTGCCTAAACCTAAGACTTGCACGGGCTTTGCCGTTGACATGCACGCCCTTGACAGTTCATCGAAGTTTTTGATGTTGAACACTATGTTGAGTGGTTGACATGTTCGTTTAAGGAAGTCCATAGGCACAAGCGGTGCTGACACTTGGCTCTGAAGGATTCCAAGACCATTGTTGCCATCAACAAGGATGCGGATGCACCGATTTTTCAGGTCGGCTTGCACGATGTCAAAGGATTTGACTCTGCGAACTGTGTTCCAACTGTTCCAACTGAATTGGCCATTTCAAGGTGCAAATTTCCTGAATGACAAGCAGTGCTCTCTTACATTCTTCCAAACTGTAGGAACAATGTCGTGGGACAACATCAGGACAACTACAGGTTTGCGTAACTTTGTATGCAGAGATTTGGCGGCAAAAAAACGGGAAGGAAAGAAGAAAGGACTTTCAGAGTCTAAGGTCTAGCGAAAAGGCGAAGGAGATGCAAAGAAATACATGTTATGAATATGGCAAATAAAAGGAAACTTGTGAACTATATACATAATATATCATAATGTTATATTAATTTTAATAGGGGGCAACCTCTCCAAAAAACAATGTATATATGTTTTGTAACAGAGGTTTTTTCCGGGGGGCGCAATGAAACTCTCCTCTGGATTTTGTTTCATTTGCTTTCAATTGCTCTCATGCTGTTTTCTGCTTTCATTTTCTTTCATTCTGCTTTCATTTGCTTCAATGTTGTTTTCATGTGCTTTCATTATGTTGTGTTCATTCTGCTTTCATGTTGTGTTCATTGTGCTTTCGTTTTGCTTTCATTCTGCTTTCATGTTGCATTAATTGTGCTTTCGTTTTGCTTTCATTCCGCATTCGTTTTCATTTGTTTTCTTTTGCTGTCATTCTGCTTTCACTTGCTTTCATTCTGCTTTCACGTGCGTTCATTCTGCTTTCATTCTGCGTTCACTTGCTTTCATTCTGCTTTCATTTGCTTTCATTCTGCCTTCATTTGCTTTCATTCTGCTTTGATTAGCCAGGAGCCACAATAGGAAGAGGGTCTATAATTGTGGAACTCCTTGTATTCTGGACACTTGGCACTTGTAAGGGGCACCCTTTCGCAAGCTTGTTTAAGCGAAGCTTCTCATAGGCATTTTTCTTGAAAACCTATTGTTTTGGAAGTTGGAAGACTTTGGATGTTGCTTCACTTTGCTTTCAATTGCTTTCATTCTGCTTTCGTGAGTTTTTATTCCTGAGTTTGTGTGAGTTTTTTTTTGCATGTTGGAGCTGAATTTTTGAATCGGCAGTATACAAGACGTGTTGCAAGACCTGCAAATTTCCAACCACTGACTAGTTGTCTCACCGCAGTGCCTTACCGATGCCCCAACCGATGCCGACCGATGCCCAAATTGAACATGTTTGTGTCCATGGAAGAGCAACTCCTCCACAACTTGTATAACCACTAATTACACTTTGAACATGCTTGTGCCCATGGAAGAGCAGCCTCCCCACAACTTGTACAACCACTCCCGCAGTTGATTCGTGCCCTCACTGTCTCGTGCCAAACTATGACAAGCTTGATGCCATCAACAAAGCTTGAAATGCAGCCAACCCTACAAACCTGCACAACCGATGGGGGCCGACCCATTCTAGGCAATGTCTTGAGGCTGGATAAGACATTTTTCGTCCTGCACACATATTTTCTGGATGTTTGGAATTGTACGATTAAGGCTGCCCTCCTTAATACGAACTTGACATTAGTGCACAACACTTGGCTCGGATGGATCCCATGTCCTGACCCCACTCAACAATGGCAATCCCTGCATCTCCAAAGACGTTGAAAGCTGTAATGCCATTCCGTTTCTTTCTTCATGGTCGGAGCTGCACAAAGTGTCCGAAGCGAATGGATGTCAGGGCTTTTCGAAGAAGAAAGCATAAAATTCATGGTCGGAGGAGCGTGCAGCAGATATGCATGTAATTATGGTTTCTGAAGTCAAGGGCTGATTTTTTGTTTAGATCCATTATGTAGATAATGATGCTTGAATAGATTTAGATGGGCGTATTAAGTTGTGCGACTTACTGTAACCTTTACGGTGCAGGTTGCAGACTATGGTCTTGTTGCCGACCTCTTTGAGAGCGTTCCCGAGCTGACCAGCAAGGTTTGATTGGCAACTGCAGGCAATGTTGGTTGCTTTCACGTTTCACAATACTTTAGGTATCTTAAAGCTCCATTCCATTAATTCATGAACTCAGCAGTTGCGTCTCGACTGAACGAGGCATTCTCAGCCCATGTCGTTGTGCTGGGCGCTGCAGAGAGTACAGCAATGAAAAGAGTTGCAGATAGAGCGTGTGCAGAGCTGTTATAAAATTTCACATGACTCCGCGCTGCGAGTTCGCATCCCGTTGGATTCGTTTGTCGTTCTCTTTGCTCGATTAGCCAAGGCTTCGTGGCGCCTGCCCGGGCATAGTGGCCTGGCTACTCCTCTACTGGGCCTTTGTACTGCCCAGTGGCCTGAGCTGCTTCGCAGCCGCTGTGACTGCAGGCTGTGAGTGGAGTCCAGGAAAAGGTGCAATGTCACCTAATGGAGAGAAAAAATATGTATGAGATTATCATCAAATTATCCACATGTCGTACAGATCTGGATCAAAGCCATCATCTCAAGCCTACAAACTGGTATGTCACTGTGTTGTTATTTTATGTTGCGTTGTTTTGATGCTTCAGAAGGCCAGACTTGCGTTTGTTTCAGATTTCATTTGGCCCCAAGCGATTTGCGCTTGCCGCAAGCATCAGAAAAAAGGCTTCACTTTTGGTGTGTAATCTACTATCATGAATGCACTCGAATCATGACTCCAGGAAGGCTAGGCCTGCAAGTCTGCAGTGTCAATTTAGGAACCTGCATCCAGGTGTGTATGTGTGCCTTTGTCGGGCACGGACTGAGCACATGATAGATGCAATGACTAGAGCGACCTTGCACATCAAGAGCACCAGAGTCAGAGACAGGAACTAGGAGATGCAGGATGGGAGGCACATTTTGCTCGAGGATTTGGACCACTGCTGATGCACAGAAGGAACAGAACGATGAACTTAATGCATAGAGGGGACCATGTGTGCGCGAATTTATTTCAACTTATGTACTGCTAAATCATGACACAATGCGCACAGTTGTCAACTTTTGCCAAGGTACTTCAGGTACTTACCATGCATCAAAACTCCCAGCACCTAATACTGTACTTGTTGCATAGTCTTGCCTCAAGCAGAGTTGGTTGGTGAGCTTGTGTGCCAAACAACTTTCCTATGGGCTTGTAGGGCCGTTTGCCGCTTGCTCATGGATGATGAAAAAGTCGCTGGAAGCCTCAGCATGGAAAGCTTTGGACATAGACTACTCGGCGTTTCCCCGCTTTGAGTGCAGTATTGGCTACGGATCGGGGGTCTTTCTGCAGGACAGAAAAAATCTCTTCGCCCGCTCTGCGATCGTGGGTTTGCAACACCATGTTTTGCGATTTCGATTGTGTCGTTTCAGCGGTGCAGCAACACTGCCCTCGTTATTGAAGCAATGCTGAGAGACTATTGGAAACTTGCATTTGAGCTCGATGAAAACTATCTAGAACTTCTATGGAAACTGGAAACAGTGAGAGGGGCCAGCAGCTCACCCTGACGTGAATCGTTTGTTTCGAGATTCCTCATTCACAGTCGGAAAATTGAATTAAAATTGAATTGACAATCAATTCTGAACTTACTACACGCTTTGGCATCATTTAAACATATAATATATGTAATCACGTCGACAGGGCGACAGGGCCCACCACGAAGGACGCAACACAGATCTAAACTGAGGGCAGGTTGCCCGGGGATACCTAGGTTAGATCCAGCAGGCCAGGTATGTCAGGTCCAATTGAGCAGCGGTTTTTTTTGTCTATGAAAGAGTTTATACAAAAGTGGAACTACTCTTGATGCTGCGTAGGCTATTCTGCTTGGGGGCGTAAGCTTGCGTAGGCAACCGCGTAGGAAAACATAGTAGTGCCTCGCGTAGGCAGATTTGCGTGGTTGTAACTTGGAGTAAATCTAATAACCTGTAACACGGAAAGAACAATGGACCGATATTCATCCTTTAGTTGACTTGCTTGGTGGCTGGTACTTGAAGTTTGAGGAAGTAGATCTTGAGGGATATGAGTGACCTTGTTGCTGTATGCTTCTTGGGGATCACAGTGCGAACACTGTGTGAGGGATTTCGACAACAGGGGTTTGCTGAGGAAAATGTATTGCGCGCCCATCGAGATGGGCTGTGACATGGTTTCCTTTGAGTTTGTCAACTTGTTGAACAAACCGGTACAGTCAGCTTTCTGAGCCTAATTTCCATGGTCATTCACATATGTGCATGTGTGTACAGTACCGGTACAACTGTAGAAACGTGTGACAAGATGCAGGCAAACCCCGCGTATGCTTCGCGTATGCCTTGCGTAGATGCTCGCGTAGGCTGCGGCTTGGTTTGGAAGGGGTTGGCCCACTTCTGTTTTTCATGCTTGTAACCTATAATGTGAGCCGTTTAAGCAAGCATGTAGTCGTCATTTTTCGTGTCTGTCTCTATGAGCCGCGCCGTGAAAACATGGGACGACTTCACGCCCAAGTACCGCAAAGAACTCGCTCTGTCGCTTGCAGACACCATCATGGAGAAAACCGCTTCCCTTGATGAGGCTGCTTCTTTCCTCCAGCTTGTTGGGCAGGTCATTCAAAAGAAGACGGGGCAGACACTACGCAACCTTGTCTTTAACCAGGTCGAATTCACCACCAGTCAGGCTGAGACCCTACTTCGCTCTCTAGGTCAGCTCCGGGAGAAGTACGCTACCCACAATAGCCAACTACATCTCCCCAAGGTCAGCGTTCAAGAAATGGATTGCGCCACAGTGCGCGCCTGCATAGCTTTGAAGACCTTGAATAGCTTTGGGTGCGACATAGGGAGAAAGGAGTACAAGCACGCAACCTCAACTGAACCAAAGTCTGCTGCTCGGGAAAACCGTGTAGGCCGAACAACATTTCCTTGGCGAACATCCCTCAACCTCCTGGGCCAGAGCCTGGCGGCGATGTCAATGAACTCGTACGACGACATATGGCCCAGAAGCACATTCAGCCTCATCAGCCTGTTGCCCCTGGGGACATTGAGACTTTGCTGAAAAAAGCCGAGGACAGACTGACCAAGGCTGCTTCTAAGAAGCGCCGACAGGCACAGGCTTTGCTGTCTTCATCTTCAAGCTCGTCTTCTTCTGCATCCTCATCTTCTTCATCTGCATCTGCTCCGTGAAGGCAGCGTGCAAAAAAGGCCTCGCGTAGTCGACCGCGTAGGTACCTCATCAAAACCCTCGATCTGGAACATGCTCGCGTAGGCTACCTCACATACTTTTGATATGTCGCGTAGGCGCTCGCGTATACATGCTGCGGAGTGTATACTTCCAAGCACCCAAAAAAAACACCACTCAATTGTAGTACCGCAATTATGTAGTTCTTCTATGCTATTCTAATATATTCTAATCTTGAGTCCTGACCGGGCTTTACCCCGACGAATAATATGTTTACACCCCCTAAGTGTCCTTGACTTTCCTTTTCCTTCTGATTTGTCGAAGTCAAACAGAAATGCACAAAGAACGACGGAACAGTGATGGGGAAACGGAGGTCGCTGGAGCCCACTAGAGCCCACACGAGCACATCATAGTTTTCCAAAGAGTGTCAACAAATACTCAGCTTCCTTGGGCAAAAAAAAATACTTGTGCAGAGCACTAAAAGTAGACTTACGCAGCGGAATATGATGGGTGACACACTACAAGTAGCAGAGATTTGGCCTGGCTTGGTGTTGCTCAAATATTGTTTCACGCTGTCTGTTGCCGGCAGGAGGGCTACGATGATAAGGCTCGTCCCATGGTGGACTTGTTGCTGGTGGTTGATGACGAGGTTGGGGCTGTGGATGTAAGCAAGTGTGTGTGTGTGTGTGAGTATGTATCATATATTATATATTCAAGAATCAACAAGGTACTTGCAGAAATGGCTTGAAAGCGTGTGCTGAGGACTTGGAAGACTGGCATGAAAGAAACCTCCAAGCACAGCCAGAGCACTACTCTGGTTTGGCCCGGCTACAAAGCTCAGCTGCAGCTTTGAAGTGTTGTGTCAAACTGCCAGTCTTCAAGTCCTATCAGCATTCCGTACATGGTTTTTTGTAAGTTGAGCAACTCCAACCTGAGATACCTGGGCTCGGCTCCAATTTGCCGACTGCAACGATGGGGTCCTGGCGTGTTGTACTTGCCAGAGGCGTGAAATGTATGGGGTGAGCAGACAATGCAAAACACTGTGCATAGTGCCACTGTTGGTTTTGAAGCTAGGTGCAGCTAATGACAGTTGAAGGAAGTGCTGCTCAGTCACAACTGGCGTATTCTTCCGAGAGCTTTGAGCCAGTGTTTGTTTATGGCTTTCATATAATCATATAACTCAATGGAGGAGGTTTTTGCTTGTTGGTGGTACTTGCCTGGAAATCCAGGGCCTCTATGTTTGCTTCAAACAGATACAAAGACAAAACTGAAGATAAAGAGACAGAACAGAAAACAACGGAAAATGGTTGCTTGCAGAGGCCTAACAACATGCGATCAGTTTAGGACATGTCAGCTCAGGTGCTCAATGCAAAGTACGGTGTCATCACATTTCGAGATTTGCTATTTGATTTGGAACATTGGTCTTCCTTGTACATCGCTGGCAGGACTTTGTTTGCTTCCCTTATATAATTAGATTATGGTAGAACCGAGTGAAATTAGACACCTTGCTCATTGATTCTGTTTTAGACGACACTGTTTCATGACCTTAAGATGCAGATCCAGGCAGCTTGTTGCAGGATGCAGAAGCCCTTCGTGCACACATGGCATTATGATGGTTTGGATGACGAAGACATTTTTGATGCTGCTGTAGCAGCTTGGCTGAGGCTCAACACATTTATTGGGCAAGTTGCTCCTACCACAGCTGTATTATTATGCTGCATATAATCAAATGTATGATTTCAATTTGTATATTTCATTATATTTCCATCATTAAGATCTACCTGGCTTAGCTTATATTCGGACCCTGACCCTTCCTGCCAATTTATCATATTTTTTGGTAATTTTAATATGTTACTCAAGAAAACACAGCTTTTGTCTAAGTTGGCAAAGACTAGGCCAAATGGCAAATCGTGCTGGACATGTTTTGCATGCCAGAAGGACCAACCAGAGCATGTAGGGTCGCAAGTAAGGAGGTTGTTGATGTAGACAGTGATGGCCTTCATGACTGACATATGATGACAATATGAGGCCTTGATTGCTCTATCTAGAATTCGCAAGCTGAGGGTGGATGGCCCTGGAACTAGTCTTTTGTTTGGTGTGCGACTAGACAAAGGTTACCCGTTCTTTAGACGTTCCCAGCTCCGGTCGTTGCTGGAATGCAAGGTGCAAAATCGGCGGTCGGCGTTAGCTGCTGCGCTGCTGAGTGTGGCAAGAGATCACTTGGACGTACGCTCGTTGCTGGCTTCAGCAGGGCCGCCAAGAGCTCGCTGACATGAATGTAATGACCAGTTGGATCTATTGCCAAACAGCTCCAAAAGATGCCGTGTCTTGCTACTGATCGACTTTGAAACTGATGGCCAGCCCTGCCAAGGTTGTGGGGCTGTCGTACAGCGGTGACATCCGCGTGGGGTTGGCAGAGAACCCACACAAGGCATCCTATGAACAAGTTTGCTAGCTGTTAGTTGCTTAAGCTGATTATAAGTATCACTCCTACAGCAACGTTGCAAAGTCTCACAAGCATTACATTCCACTGACGTTGACAAGGGCCAGATAAAATTGGGATGTAATGCTCAAGTTGAGCTGCCATGTCTCCAACTCCAAGCCTTAGTGACAAGCAGGCTCGAGTTGATTCATTGGGCCCGCAGGTCTCCAACATTGTGAATGCCCAGATGCTTGTTTGCATATCCATTTTTGTTCGAAGCATCTCCGAACTGAGCAACTCAGGGCATTCAACTCTATAGATTTGTCCCATGTCATTCAAACAAGAGTCTTTGAGTCTTGCATTGGCAGCCCAACCTTGGAAGATGCAAGGCAAGATCTTCTGTGGGCCATTTATCGGCCACTGGCTGCAGAGCTTGAGGTTGATGTTTCAGAGGCCTGCTCCGCCATGCTTCAACTGCCTTGCCACTTCTGTGAACATGTATGTTCACACGATGCAAAAGCAAATGATGGTCATGGTGAGACCATTTGGTGAGGCCACTCTCGAAGATGGGTTGCAAGGGGTCGTCCGCTTTGACGCGTCACCTGCCGGACATCGTCGCCTTTTCTCTGCTTTGCCAGAAGCAGTGAGGCAGAAGGCATTACAGGTGGGAGCCCAGTGGGAGCTTGAACCAAACTGTGCTATGATTCCACGCCAGTAGAGGCTAAGCGGATCTAAGGGGTCTTTCGAGTTAACTCTTCGACTCGCTCTTCCAGGCTGGATCTCAAGAGCCTGGCTTGCCGCTACGCCGTACCCTTCAAGCAACGGTGCGCCAAGCTTCTATGCAGCAGGCCGTGAAAGGTCGGATGATTGCATAAATTGCATATTGCGCAAGCATGCTTTCACTAATGGCTCAATTTCAAGACGGAGCCTTTAGCGTCACGGAACCACTAGGTGTGCTAAGTTCTGGTGTGACCAGAAGTTTGCGCTATGTGCCGAGCTCAGGCAATTATATAGCTAGGGCTGAAACAAATGCAGAAGCCTCAAGTAAAATGATGACCGTCAACATTTCACAACATGATTAGTACAAAGTGCAAGTTTGCACATTGTCAAATCATGCCAAGTCAAGATATTGAGAGTCGTGTAGTCTTGTGGCCACAGAGAGCTTGCGGAACTTGTTTGTTCTTTTTGGCTGAGGTGTTGCAAAAGGTAGCGAAGCGTTTTCGGTAGGCTTGGCCATTCCCGCCGCAACAAAATGAGGAAATGGTGCTTGCGTGCTTTGTTTTCCTTTGTACTCTACTCATTTTGCGAGACATGCGAGCTTTTGTCCCTTCTTTAGGGCAACCCTTGTTTGCATGTTCAAGTGGGTGAATGTGGATGAATGGTACATTTTGGCTCAATGCTTCATGTTGCAAAGAGAAAGTGAGGCCAAGGGGACGGAAGCAAGGGCTTGCATGCGATGGCCTCCAACCTCGAAGCGATGGCCTCCAACCTAATAGCGATGGCCTCCAACCAATTCAGACGATTAAAAGTCCAACAAAGACTATTTGTGCTGAGCTCAATGACAGCTACCAACGCATTTTTCCGCCAGCGAGTACGCTTGTTCACTTGCTTTACCTAAAAGTGCCCTCTTTCACACAGTACCAATCACACAGCAAGAGAACATGACTTGTATGCCGAACCTAGCTCACACCTCTTTTTGTATGTTTGAGCAATTCCACTTTCAACACAACATAATTACTTTGTCAGGTTGGTCATTTGTCATTTGTTTTTTGTTGTGTTTATATATCTGTCGCTGTTTGAAAGCTCCTATCACATTCTACCTCATGGTGTTCTTCTGTCCAAAGGGCAAGCGCTGGAATTTGCCGTAGGTGCCTTTTGGCACCAGCGCTCCATGGAAGCATCGCCTCACAGAGGCGCGAAGCCGAGATTTGTGCACAAAGAAAACAACAGAAGTCCTGAAATGCATGGAAAACAGGAAGGTATATTGTGCAATGTATGGTCATGTTTCAAGGCAATTCTCTATGAATTGCTTAGATTTGCGCAGGACGATGCTCCAACTCCAAGTGCCCTCGAGGTGACGCAGAGGCAGGCGATGAGACTGAAGAGGTTTTTGAAGGGTGTTGAAACGTGTCAAAGTTGTCTTTTTTCCCCGATCCCTGAGAATCTCAGAACCGAAGCAATGCGGCGCTTTTGCTGCGCGCTCGCAGGTGCAGCTGGCATGTCGGTGTGGAGAAAATTTTTGCACTGAGGCGTCCGAAGCTTGGGAGCAAGGCGGACAACAAGAAGCGCAAAGAATAAACAGAATTAAACATATGTGAAAAACATCTTAGAGCTGACGATATATTTCGATGGATGACATGTATGAAGGCTTGAGGTCAGAACGCATTCTGAAACGTCTATTCAGTATATTATATAACTATATATCTGGTATTCTTGCCCAACTGCTCTTGAGAAACTAGTCTTCAGAAACTATTCTGCGATCTTCAAAATTATGGGGTGGGTGGGTTGAGTGGGTTGGCTCATTGACGTGCCTTGTGACGGCTACGATACATGCCTGGCATTCTTCAGAAACTGTTTTGCAAACTTCAGAATTGAACTACAACAATTCCACAGTCCATCCAGATTACATGAATCGAGCACAGTCTGGGGGTGGGTTGGGGTGGGGTATGTGGGTTGGGTAGCCTTATTGACAAAACCATCTAGTTACCCAAGATCACCTTTTAGTTGCCGAATAGAACGTTGAGCTGAGGTGCTGGATTCAATTTTGGCACGCTGGCCATCAGGTCATTGGGCACGTTCTTCAGGCTTTAGGCTTGAAGAAACAGAAGCCATGTGCGCACAACAATGCGACAATAATACATTCGGTTGTGTTTTTGTACCGAATTGTACCACCGTGCTAATTTGTGTCACCTTGTGTCACCTTGCCAGCATAGCTGCCCCTACGCTGCGGACATTGTTTCGGATGCATCGGAGCATTGCTCTCAACGCAGAGGCTTGTGTTGCGTCGAGTCATGCCGCAATATCGACCCCAAACCAGCGCTGAGAGTAGCACATAAGAATTGTGAACTACTCTCAAAGTAAAAGTAAAAGTCATCAACCTGTTTACCCTTGGAAGAGAAGCTGCCCTTTTCCATTTTGTGGTAAATCAGCAAATGGCTGCTGAACGAGATAAAGCCCGCCGAAAGTTGAAATGCCAGAGAATTGCTGCTCGTTTAATATCCTGTACACATGCTGTGTTGACGTGTGGCAGGGCGGCATTGCTGCAAGTTCTCAGCTCTGTTGCCTTGTTTATCAGATGGTTCGATCCTTCCAAATCCTTTTGAGGG